TATTTCTTCACTACAACCGACCCAATTTGATGGAACAAAATGACAAATATAGCTCTTAAGATGGCACTGTAATGGTAGTTATCTCATGTGTAGCAGATCAATACTTCTTCCGTGTTGAGGGCAAAGGCACTGAAATTTCTCCGTTGGTTCAGTTCCGCATTTTTGAGTTAAGGTCAATGAAAAGTTTCATTTGGGTTCTTCAGTTTATCAGGAAAAAGACTAAAAGCCACGCAGTTTTTAAAACTGATCGGGTAATTTTTTCTGCTTATAGTTATAAGCTGTGAGATTTTAGGTAGTTCTGTTTTTCTATGTCAATGTTTCGAAGTTGTCGGTAGGGCGTTGGTAGGTGTTGTTGTCTCTTCAGGATTTCACAGTTTTGATTTAGTAAACCAATTTTCCAAAGTCAGTCATTGAAAGTTAATAGAACTGTATATCAAACACTGCCGGCGAGGCTGAGTCAACAGACAATTGTGTCCCGCAATATGACCGTCGATATAAGTATGACCAATTCACAGTCTTAAGATTTTAATTTAGGAGTTTCTTTCCTTCCTTTAGGCCTCCCCTAAAGTCCTATGTGACAATGCTATCTTAACGATATCACCTTTTTGCGACATCAGCTATGAAAATTGAGGCAAGACTTCCGCACAGACCCATATGTAATCAGGCATGCAGTTCTTTTGATGAAGAAAACGCTGATTTACAATGGGTATACAATTTCCTTTGGGTATACAGCTTTGATTGAGATCAATATGAGATAATCGGAAATCTTTCTTTCAATTGATAATTTTGATGCTGATTATTAACAAAACAAATGAGTGATCATCCCTACGAGATCAACAACTTAAGATTCAGTTTTCTCTGCCTAGGTTTCGTCAATAACCAATTCAACTCTATGTAATGTAACAGATTTTTCCAAGATCACTTGCACCAAATAGCGTAAATTTATCATAAGATTGTCACTCAAGTGTAGGCTTAACAATCTGCACCATCACATACTATTCCATTTTTGAGTACTCAAACCAGTCAAATCCTGAGTAAAGAGTTAGGGAGCCAACAAAATGTCGGCTTATTTTTCCTTTTTCTTCATTGTAAACGTTACCAAGGCTAGAATCAACTTTTAATACGGGGGAAAAGATCTTTTGTGATAAGATTTCCTTTCAATGTTAAGTTGGAGGCTTGTGTAGCTTTTCTACGAGCTAAGTGCAGTTTTCTGCATTCGGAGCTCCTAAAATGTGTTTTAAATTGTCGTTGATTTAAATACGTAACAATTATCTTTAATTAAATCAACCCTCTTATACAGAATACCTGAGGCCCATTGCTCGCGTAAACCGCGGTTTGGGTTAGCAAAATGGTGAGATGTTATAATCACATTGGATAAATGAAGAAACGTATTTGATTTCCTTATGTGCTGCTGCTACGAAAAGAAAAAAATGTACTGTGGCAAGTAATAAACTTAAAGCAGGCAATTATCGTATTTTCTGAGAAGACGCCATATTTCTGACTCTTGCTTCTATTGTACCTCACTAAATAGCATCAAAGCCAAATGGTCCTCTTGTCACAACTAATTAAAATTGAGTCTCC